TGGAAGTTGAAGTCCACCCATCTGAAAGCTCCCAAGGTTGAGAAACACTGGAGTGGAAGGTTGCTCTGAACCCAATAGCAGAGTTTCCTCTCAAGTTTAGGGTGATCATGCATCCCAAGGTTCTAGTCCTCATTCTTCAAAATCTGTTTCTTTTCCTCTTCGGCTCGTATTCCTAGGTTTTTTGTGGGCCTTTGCTTCTCTTCATTTATTTTAATCATTTTTTTTTGATGATGATTACAATGACGCTTTCCACACACACGCGCGCGTGCAGCCGAAAATATAACTTTAAAACCATCGATGAAGAAGGGCAGTTATAAAAAGGGGCAATCCCCACTGCAGAGGGGAACGGGAGAAAAAAGTGGGCTTTTCAGGCGGAAAGGCCGCACCTTTTGGGGAAAAGCTACCTCCTTAACCCAAAGGTTAGTGCGCCGGAAAGGGAAGCCCCCCCCCACGCTAGACCCAGCCAGTGGCTCAGAGATTACAGCCCTGTTCTGTATTATCTGTATGAGAGGCTCATACAGGCCTGGACTCCGTAACCCATGGGTTTGGTGACGTTTTAGGTTTCCTACGTCCCCTGTCCCCGTTCCAGGAGCAACAATTGTCCGATTGCTTCCCCCTTTCATGGAAACACCCAGCTTCCCTTCCAAACGGCGTTCTTTTGTATTTTAATAATCGCTTTTTCATCTTTTATAACGAGTCCTTTTATCTGTTTGTTATTTCTTTTCATTGCTGCGTGCCGCCCAGGGTCGCTTTGTGGGAGACGGGTGGCGACATAAATGTGATCCATAAATAAAATCCATAAAATAAATTCTGCATTCGTCCGTTCTCTTGACCGACCCGGGTTCCTTTCCGCCTGGGGTAGCAAGCTGAGCTGTGTCGTCAGAGGGGGAATGGCAATTTTCATTCCCTTTTCACGATCGGGCCCTGGGACGAATGGGGGTTTCATTAGGGGAACGGAACGGAGTCCTGGAAGAATTAGGACGGACCCGAGGAAATGCTCGTTTACGCAACGTGTCGTTCAACTCGCTATCGTGAGATGCGGTGCTCAGCGGGCTTCAAAAAGGGGCTGGATTGATTCATGGAAGTCCTGGGGATCCTGGGCTGTTAGGGGGACCGCCTCTGAAGACCCTCCGCGGGGAGACTGGGGGACTTGCTGATGCCGTTGGGGGGCCCTGGGAGAAGAGGCTCTGGATGATGGGCCAAGCCCACAGGGCACGACTTCTGCTGTTATGGAGGGCTAAACCTCTCCGTGTGTCCGCTGGCGCGATTTTCTAGATCTGCATTATACCTGCTGATGCAGCCGGCTGCTCCACGAATGGAGCAAGGAGAAAACGAAGACTTGAGAGCGACGCAGCAGCACCGAGAGATCGCTGGGTGCCCCCCAAATATGGGGGGCAGAGATAAGGAGGCCGCGGCTAGGGAGCAAAGGACCAGGATGGGGGAAGCCCCTTTTTCAGAGGCAGAGGCATGCTTGACGGTGAACGAAAAATCCCCCAAAGGACAGTTCAGCAGAATCTCAAGCCTGTTTGCACTGGGGGATGTGAGTCGTGTGAATTGGACATGCCGGGGTGGGGCGGGGGAGAATTGGCCTGCGCCCCCTCCCCCCAGATGGGCAGTGTGCCTCACTGTTATTTAAACCCAGAAGAGAATTTGCAGAGGAAGAAATCCGCCCAGC